AGGGAGGGCGAGCCCACTGTGCATCTTAGGCACTTCTTAGACACACCTGCCTCTCTTTCCCAGTCATCTCAGAGCCTTATCAAGGCAGGCTCCTCCCTATGGTGTCCACAAAACTTACATTTCCTTTGGGAGGTGTGTCCTCTGAGGCAATGGTTGAGCGGACAGATTGCCGACACCCTGCCGTGCCCTCGCGCACATCAGTGTTTGGCTGGGACTGGGAGCTGGCACGCTCACCAGAGTTGTGAGTTTTCTGCAGTGTCCCGTGTCTTGCCGCAGTGGACACGGGACATCCAGCCAGGATCTGTAGCTATAAAATTGATGGGGAAACAGTTACATTCTTTTTTTACAATTGACTTTTTCTTGAGGAAATCTCGTTTTGAGGATGAGAGCTTCAGGTTATTTTGTAGGAAGGGAATGAATGGTCTGCGTTTCTTCAGGGAGATAATGCCGTTTTCCTCCGCAGGCACCACCACCACGGGAGCGGCATTGCTGGAGGGCTGGTGAAGGGGGCTCTGTCGGTTGCTGCCTCTGCATACAAAGCCTTGTTTGCTGGACCACCAGTCACTGCCCAGGTCAGTGCCTGTTTTATTGTCCTGGACCACATCCAAGTCATCGGTGAGAACGGTGGCTTCTGTCCGGGTTGGAGAGGAGCGTGGCATTGTGTGAAGCATAAGCTAGCTTTAGGGCTAGTCTTCGGTTGACACACGGTTCCTCCTCTTTTCTTACTGTGTGATGTTGGCCTGGTCTGTTGAGGGAGGAAAGGAAAAGGACCTAATGTTTGTTGAGCTATTATGTGTAGAGAGCTTGTCTGGTGCTGGTGCTACCAGATGAACGAGACCCCAGCCCTGCCTGTAGACGGTGGGAAACAGGCGAGGTAAGCAGGCGCTTACAGCAGAGTGTAAGATGCTGTGTTGATGTTCTTGACAGCTGCTGCTGCTCTCAGCCCGGTGTGGGCCGCCGGGCCGGTGCAGGGAAGGCTTCCTGGTAGATGGTGCTCGAACCAAGTTCTAAAGGAAGAAAAGAAGTGTTTGCCAGGAAAGAGAAGTAGGAAGGGCATTGTAGCCTGAGAGGAGCATATAAAAAGACTTGGAAGTGTGAGTCCGGAAGGTGAATGTGGGCTAGGACGAGTAAGAAAAGACAGCTACACAAGCAGATGCTGTGTTAAGTGGTTTGGAGTTTATTTTAACACGAGTGGGAGGAGCCATTGAAGGGTTTTAGGGAAGTAATTAACATGATCAGATATGTTCGTTGTAAAGTTATTCTGGTGTGGAGGCTGGTGGAACTGGGAAGTCTATTTGAGAATCCATGTGTAGGTGGAAAAGAAGGGTAGGAGAGAAGTAGACAGAAATGGCAGAACTTAGAGACTGTGATTAAATGGCTAGAAGTCAAAGTTAATTCCCAAGTTTCTGATTTAGGCAATCAATAGTACCATTCATTAAGAGAGGATGTGCAGGAAGAATATACTTGGGCAGGAGGAAAAGAAAATTAGGTCAGTTTGGGTGGTGCTGAATTTGAGGCACATCCAGGTGGAGTTATCCAGAGTGCAGTTGGGTATGTACATCTGGGTCATGGGCGAGATTTGGCCTGGAGAGAGTCATTTGTATACAGGTTATAGCAGGAGCCATGTGATTGGATGAGATTTTCCAGGAATAATGGGGAAAGCAAGAAGCAGCCTTTAAGGATCATGGAAAGAAGGAGGGGCCCTTCAAAGAAAAGACTGAACTTGGAGGCAAATGAGAAGAGAACTCTGTGCTGGAGCTTAGGAAAGGGAGCCTTAATGAGGAGGACATGGCCAGCAGCGTCAGAAATGTGAACAGGGGGAGAGGACTTGGATGGTGCAAGAATGCCTCGCTTTAAAGTAGCCGGATTGCTCGCCCAACTCGCTCAGTAGCTCAGTTGATTAGAGCATCATCCCTATACAGCAAGGTTGCAGGTTTGATTCCCATTCAGGCCATGTACAAGAATTAACCAATGAATGATTGAATGAATAAGGGGAACAACAAATCAGTGTTTCTCTTTCTCCTTCCTCTCTAAAAATCAATAATTTTTTAAAAAATAGCTGTATCACAAAGGCAAAAAGAGAGTGAAAGCTTGGATATGTAAGTCAGAGGGAAACATTTTTAAAGATGGGCAAGCCAGTAGCGAAGGACATTAACAATCAAGATGAGAGGAGAACTAACAGAAAAAGATTTCTCAGCTAGAGGTAATGAAATACAACGCACGGTACACTTGGGAGGATTGGTTTGGCAAGAAGGATGGATAATTCTGGAATAAGAGGGAAGAAGGGAACAGTGATTTACATGTAGAGAGAAATGACAGAGACTGTGTTTAACTCACATACACACTTTCTTAATACTGTCATAACCCTGCAAAATAGGAAGTATTCTGTAACTCCATTTTCATAAAGAAGGGGAACTGATACTCAGTACAGTTAGTGCATACATGGTAGGAGTCCGGTGTCTCGAGTATCAGGAGGATTTAAGGCGGTTGTGTCTACCACAGCGCTTGGCCCAAAGAGGGAGTAAATGAATGTTAGCTCCCTCTTACCTGGATCGCTTCTATGAAAATAATAATATAACAATTATTAGAATAACAATTAATAGTAACAATTGGAGAGTAAAAATCTAGAAGGTAACCTAGGATGTAATTTTGCAGGCAGTGTTTTGTCCAGCTCTTTTGCATATCTGACTAAATTCCCCATGCCAACTTCCAGTAACAGTCTCTTCTCCTGCTTGTATTTGTCCCATCCTCACAGGCACCTTTGTTTTCATAGGGCTTCCAGAGCTCGTTTGCATCCTTTCCTTCATCTGGCCAGAGAACACTTCCTTCTAAAAGTCCCCTCTGAAGCCTGCTCCTCCCAGCTCTGAGGACAGTCCATTAGTGGCCCGTGGAGAACAACCCTTACCTCCTACAAAACAGGGCCTCCCCGTTCTGCCCCCCAACGGCCTGTCCGTAGCGTGCGGACAGGAGTGCCATTCCCTTGCATCTCACCTAGTATTTCAAATAAGTCTGGGAAGATTAGTATGACTTAAAAGATAAACACATAAATTATATAGAAAATGTTATTCTGCTTTTCTTGACTCCACACAGCCGGTAGTTTCTGAAGACCAGACAGCAGCCCTGATGGCTCATCTCTTTGAAATGGGATTCTGTGACAGGCAGCTGAACCTGAGGCTGCTGAAGAAACACAATTTCAACATCCTGCAGGTTGTGACGGAGCTCCTCCAGGTCAACAACAACGACTGGTACAGCCACCGCTACTGAGGAGTGACCGTGCATTAAATAACCTTGCCTGCTGCTCAGAGACGATCCATATTGTCGTTGGGGTGTGGGGGAGAAGCCCTTGCTTATTTTCAATCTGATGAAGCTGTGTAGAGCCCATCACCAAATTGTCCAGACAGTACCTGTGTGACAGCATTTTCTGGAGCAAATGGAAGACCAGAACGTGTTCTCACTCCAGACATGGGGTGAGCAGTAGGGGGACTGCTTTCCAGTTGATTGGAATAGAGCTCCTTTCTCCATTTCAGTGTGTTGAAGAGTACACCTTGAACTTCCTAGACAACCGTTTTTCTTTCTGCTTGTATTGAAGTTGAGTATTTTTCTTGGTTAACGTGGATGTTTTTATGGGGTTATATGTTAATGTCAGTTTTTCAAAGAAATTAACCCTGAAAGTTGTTTTCAAGAATTACTTAGAATTTCTTTACCCGACCCCAAGCCTTGTAGTTACGTGGTGTGGAAATGATGCCCAGAGCACGACAGGAGTGATTCTCTTCTCTCGCTGTCAGAAAGCCGTTTCCCTGCGAGACGTAGGTGTCGGCACTGCTGTTTTCTGCAGAGCCCGCTGAAGAACTTAAGAATATCCACTCTCTGGGTCTCTGCACTGCAGTGAAAGGGGGAGGTGTATTGGTAGTATGCTACTAATTAAACCGCCAGCACCTTCTGAGCAGTGTCTGTTGTAAGCTTGCATACGTTTTTCTTGTATTTAAGGGAGAAGAAATTAGGTAGTGTGAAATATTTTGCTAATCCTATAGGGGAAAGAAAAAAACTATTAAAGGAAAAGTAAATTTAACAGTCACTTTTTTTTCTTACATCAGAGCAGATCTTATTTACAGCAGCAGGGGGGAAGGGGAGCAGAAGCAGGGGAAAGGGGAAAGGCAAGGCTCCTGTGCTGATCTCAGGAGAGTTTGGAGGTGGGCACGTGGGTGTGCGTGAGGCACAGGAAAGCCCGACAGCACGGCCGCCTGGATGTGTGAGATCTGTTCGAGGGTGCCCATCCCCAGGGAGCTGGGACAGGGAGAGGAGGCTGGTGCTTTGCGAAACCTGGTTGGGGGCAAACACTGGAAGGGTTCTGGTTTAACCCCGGGGTGAGTGGGGAAGAGCTTGCTTCCCGGGGTGCAGGTCGTCACTGTTTTCAGAAGAGTCTCGGCTACAGTTGGTGAAGGAAGAGATTACCAAAAAAAACACTAAAAGATATTTCCATGGAAATGACTTCAAGAAAAACAAGAATCTCATCCCAGCCCAAAGGGGAGGGCAGGGGGAGATACTAAAATAGTGTTATTTAACCTGGTTGGTATTTATAATGAATGATTTTAATTAATCAGCCATAATGATGTTTATTTACATTATAACTCTCGAATGCTAATTAATAAGCTAGGATTCAGAACGCAAGCCAAACGGGCTGTTCATTATTTAAAACGTTTTTCTCCGGGCTTCTGGGTAGAGACTGAGCGGCAGGGTGTGTGTAACTGGGTTGATGGGGGGCGGGACCTGTCTCGGCCTCCTGCGCTGTATTGTCGGGATCCAGGGGGCGCCCGGGTCCGGCCGTCCACCCCGTTGTACTTGTACATAACTGCTGGAAAAAATGGTGAAATAAAGGTTCTTTGAAACTCCCAGCTGGATTGGCTGGTCCTTCCGGAAGCAGCGTCCGGGGCCTGAGCGACCTTTGAAGAGCCGGAGCGTCTCCAGAGAGGGGCGGGCGCCTGTCTGAGGGGGCGGGGCCGGAAGGGCCGGGGCGGGGCTTGCCGAGGCTCCGAGTCAAAGCTCGGGGCACGGCCCGGCTCCCGCAGGCTCTTTCGATTCTGCTGGCAACCGGTTCTGCCCCTGTGTGGCCTAGGGGTAAGGCGCTCCCTTCTTTCTCTTTGGGAGGCAAGGGCCAATGCCCCTTCCGTGCCTCCTAGCCCAGCACACAGGCGCACACGGCAACCACCGCGACTAACGGCCCCTGTGGTGGGACGTGAAATTCCCCCCCTCAATGAAATTTCAGCCTCTCCGTCAGCTCCTCACCCCCACCCCCACCCCGGCATGTGGCCGGCCCCAGAGTAGGGTGGGAAGCAGCTTGGTTCTCTGGGAGGCGAGGGTCGCCGCTGCTCTCCGCTCCCTCCAACGCGATGCATTGGGTCCCCAGGAGTGCCGAAGGGGCCCGGTCGCCCTGGCCAGCCCCAGCCCTGGCTCCTTGGACCGCCCTGCCCAGCAGGCCCTCCTCCCCAACGACACAGTCCCAAATCTGCTCTTGCAGCTGGGAGGAGCCCGGGATCCCAGACCTGAACCAGGTGAGGCTCCCTTTATTTCATTTATTGATATTAGAGAGAGAGAGAAAGGGGGACAGGAAGATAAGAGAAACATCGATTTGTTGTTCCACTTGTTTCTTCATTGGTTGTTTCTTACATGTGCCCTGACTGGGGAATCAAACCCACAACAAGGCAATGCTCTGACCAGCTGAGCTACCCAGCCAGGGCCACTCCCTTTATTTTAGCCTGGGAAGGTCTGAGTGCCGAGGCTCACCTCACCCACTCACTCTGCCACCACTCTTGAGTTTGGGGGGAAAGAACCTGGATTTAACCTTGGCCTTTCCTACTGAAGGGGAGGCCCTGACATTGCAACCACCTGCCCCAAGGCATCTTTGCTACCCCACCTTGAAAAGCAGCGAGGAAGAGGTTTGTGTTCCCTTCCAGGATTGTCTTAGGGTTCTTAGCTGCACCTGTGGCCAACCTCGTCTCCTTTCTCGTGTTTCAGCGAATCTCTGCATTCCTATTAAAGCCTACACCTGTCCAGGCTCAGAAGTGCAAGCTTTCCTCCCCTACCTGGGCTGGGAAGACCTCTTTAGGGTCCTGTTCTTGCCTTGAAAGAAGGGGACTGGACTGACTTCCTTCCCCTGCCCTATCCGGCTTCCTTCCCTTGAAGTAAATGACTGCTCAGCAACTTTCCCAGGGGAAAAAAAAATAAGTGCTCTGCCATTCACTTACAAAAGTCCCTGAAAGTTAGATAACTTCTGCTTTTCTTTTCCTTCCTGTAGACAGATTGAGCTCTCCTACAATAATGAAAGGGGTTGAAATGCATTGCAATTTCTAACTTGAGAGTCCAGTGTAACTGCTCGATTTTCCATACCCTAGCTTCTCCTTAGGCTTGAACTTGGTGAAAAAGTGCTGGAACCCTTGAGAACCTAAAAGAGTAACATTACTCCAGAGTAACGTTCAGCATCAGTGCTAACAAGCTTAGCCCTGAACTTGGTTCTTTCCTTGTTAGCGAGAAAGCCCCCTGGACGATGGGTGAGACGTTCTCCCAGCTGGGCTCCCGGGAGGATGAAAACAAGCCGATTCTACGCCCCGCCGCAGCCGTCGTCAGCAAGGCTGCCAGATGCGCCAGCTTCGTGACTTGTCCCACCTGCCAGGGCAGTGGGGAGATCCCTCGAGGTGAGTGGCTTGAGGCTCTGGAAGTAGCCTGGATCCAGGGAACGCTCTTAGCAGTCAGCTGGCCTCCAGTCAGGTGCCTCCGAGACTCCTTGAATGGGATTGGGTCTCCCAGCTCTTGGTCCCCCAGTTTCAGGCTGGCCAGGGAGATGTGAACCCCTCCTGCCTCCGTGGTGCTCCCTAGCCCCCCGGGGGTTCCCAGCCTCTCTGCTCCCTTAGCAACAGCGTGCCCGAGGGTTCAGGAGGCTACAGATGACTTCTCCAAAGAAGCTTAGGCTCTGATTTGCTGGTGGTTTGCAGAGGTTCTTTGCATCTGTTTATGAAAAGCTCGCTTTCATGCTCGAGATGGCAAAACTGAGCCTGCCAGCTTCAGCGGCACACCCCAGTGCTCCCAGGCCTGCCCCGGGGCAGAGGTGGCGGGCTTCTGCCGCCCGTCCCTCTGTGGGGTTGGGTGGGGGCGGGGGGGGGGGCGCTTCTGGCAGGCAGGCTGGCCCAGGAAACATTTCTCATGGGCGCTTCTTGGCCCTCCCTCTCACTTCTTTCTGCAGAGCTAGAAAAGCAGCTGGTGGCCCTCATCCCCTATGGGGACCAGAGGCTGAAGCCCAGGCACACGTAAGCCCCTCTTCTTGCCCCTCAGCTGCACAGGCCATTGCCCAGGGGGGCTGTTCCTCCTTGTCTCATCTGCCTCTCCCAGTTTTTCTCCATTAGTTCTCCCCTTAAAGAGCCCGAGCCTCATTGGGCCCAGATGTACTCGCCCCGTTTCCATAGATTTTTCCCAACTTAAGCAATCCGGGGCATAAAATGCTACTTGGTGTCCTGCTCACGAGCGTCACTGCCTCCCAGATGGGAGCATGGCTCCCTTTCGAAGACGGAGAGGACCCCTTGACCCCGCGAGTCCTTCCAGGAAGGAGGGTGTAGCCCTGGCTGCAGGTGGTTTGGGGAAGTTCTTTTTCCGAAGAGGTTCCCTTGCTGTGACGGTTCTTGCTGCTCGTTCTCTTCCCAGTAGCCACAGAAAACCAGGTGCTCCCTGTTCCGAGACACCTCAGGACCTCAGAGGCAGCCCCGAGTTCCACGGGGGTCGGGGTCGTGACCCTGATTATCATCCGGGTCCATTTGACATGGGCCCCTAACACGTCTGCCCCGGGTCCTCAGCTTCCACCTGGGAGCCAGCACCCCGCCCTCCCCACAGCTATACCAGAATCTGAACCCAGCAGTGTCCTTCTCGAGATTCTTACAAGGTGCGATTTCTTGAATGCACGTCTCAGTTTTTGAATTAGATAGACAGATGGTGTCCTGTTCTGAATATTCAGAACTCTCAAAGTTCACATGGACTGACTTTTTCCGGTGGTCATAACGAACATATGTTTAGCTTTAGTATTATGTGCTAGGGCCTGGGATTAGTGCTTTTTTCATGCATTAGCTTATATCCAATTCTGTGAGGCAGGTACAGTTATCTCCATGTTACAGACGAGAAAACCGAGGCTTAGGGTTGCTGGGGACTCCAGCGGGCACAGAAAGCCGGGTGTGGAAGCCACGCCGTCCGCCCCCAGTCCTGTGCTCCTGACTGCTCCGGGCCACGTCTGCGTGTAGGCTGGTCCTCTGCATCCGGGGCGCGCTACAATACATTTGGGGGGCAGGGGCAGGGTGCAGAGGAGGGCCTTGCGTATGGGGAGGAGTGTCTGCATGCCCCCTGCCCGAGTCTCCTCCAAGTCTCCTTGGGGTTCAGACTCCCCCCCCCCCCCGCAGGAAGCTGTCCGTGTTCCTGGCGGTGCTCATCTGCCTCGTGACCGCCGCCCTCGTTGTGTTTTTCCTGTTTCCCCGCTCCATCGCCCTGCAGCCCGCGGGCCTCAACTCCTCCACCGTGGCCTTAGATGAGACTGACATCCACCTCAACATAACGGTGGGTGGGCTCCTGCCTGCGTCCCCGGGCTCCGACCCCGCCTTTTCCCAGCAGTATTCCTCTGTGGCCTTCGTCCACTGTTGTGGCCCTGGGCACCCAGAGGGGGGCGGAAAGCTGAGGAAAAGCAGGGGCGGCTCCGACTGTGTAGGATGGAGACTGTCCACAGTGAGGAGTCAGAATCAGGGCCCCAGAAATAAATCACGGGGTGTCGTGGGGGTGGGGTGGCGTGCCTCTGACTCCCTGGGTGGGCGGGCTGAGACTGGGTCCTGAGGCAGCTTAATGTTTTAGTTCAAGGGACCTCTCGCCGTTAAGAGCCCCCTGTGGGGGGTGGGGGGGCGCTCCTAGCACTCAGCAGCTGAAGCTCATCCGGGGGTGGGGCTGGAACTCCACCAGGCTGGGGGTTTTGAAACTGTTTGACTTCCCCTTTGCAAGGACGGCCACCATCACCCTTCCCTTTCCTTGTTTCCATCCACCAGAATGTCTTGAACATCTCCAATAGCAACTACTACCCCGTCACGGTGACCCAGCTCGCCACTGAGGTCCAGCATCTGTCCGTCGTGGTGGGGCGGGTCTCCAGCAGCCTCCTCCTGCACGTCGGCCCTTTGGCCAGTGAACAGGTGACTCCCTCTCCCCGGCCAGCCCTGCCCCCAGGTGTGTGGACGCAAGCCTGTGGCGGTGGGAAGGGGCGGCGGCCAGAGTGGGGGCTCACCTGTGCCTGTTTGGTTGACAGATTTTTTACGGAGTAGCCAGCAAGATCGGGGATGAAAACACATAGTGAGTGTGCCTCGCTCTCTTCTCCCTCGGCCTCTTTTCTGGCTGCAAACCTGGCTTTAACCCCCACCGGATTCCCCAATTGCCTCACAAACCCCGTAGCCAGCTGAAGCTCCTGTGACTCAGGATCCCCACCCTCCGCCTGTTTGGACCTAGATTGTAATGCAAAACAGCCTAGAGTTTGGTTAATCCTTACAATCTGTGACCCTAGGCTCTTTGGCCTGAATTGCTGAGAAGGATGTCTTGTTTTCTGCTGTGGGAGGAGTCTGCCTGGGCCTGGGCCTGGGCCTGGGCCAAGCGGGTGGGCGGGGTCAGAGGAGTGATACTGCAGCAAGGGTGACACACTCACCTTAGGGAGAGGGGACAGGGAACAGGGTGGGGTGGCATTTTGGGCCCCTGATGGACAGGGGCCGAGGAGATGAGGAGGGTGGGACCCTCGGGTCTCTAAGCTTCTGATAGGCTGCTCAGTGTGAAACGCGGTCCAGTGTGCTTCCCTCTCTCTCTCAGCAAAATCTGTAGCTGGCAGAAAATCAATGTCCACCACGTGCTTCTGCACATCCAGTAAGTACTGCTCCGAGCCCAGGTGTCCCCTCTCCAGCTTCTGACTCCATGCTGACTCCCCGGCGCCCCCTTGTGAGAGGAGAGTCGTCCAGGCTGACCCCTTGAGTCTGTTCTTGAGAACAGCAGGTCCAGCTCCTTCTCTAGGCCCCACCTCCTTAATGGGCTGTTGGTGTGGCAGCCACAGAGCTGTCTGGAGCACGGGTGGGGCGGCAACCCCAGAGGCCTCAGCAGAGTGGGGGCCCACAGCAAGGGGGGCGGGTATCCAAGGGAGCCGGCCCACCCTCCCCTGCTAGCGGGGCAGGGCTGGAGCCTGCCTCTCCCTCCCAGGCGCGGCAACCCAGCCTGCTTCCTCTCCAGGGGCACCTTGACCTGCACCTACCTGAGCCATTCGGAGCAGCTGGTCTTCCAGAGCTACGAGTACGTGGACTGCCGGGGGAACAGGTCGGCGCCCCACTCGCTCGCGCCGCACCCGCCGTGACCTGTCTGCTGTCCCCAAACTCCAGGCGCCTGCCAGCCTGGCCCGGATCTCTTGCAGCACCGCGGTGTCTAGCAAAGGACTCTGGTGACTGCTCTGTCCTGCCCTCCCATGCGCCCCCCACTGTCCCCCTGTGGCACAGGAAGTTAACTCCCCACATGCACAGCAGCGGCCTCTGATTGCCACGGTCATGGAGGCCCGGCTCCGCTAGGGGCTGCTGCCGGCCTTTCCCCTCCTGCCGTCTGGAGGAAGGTCTGCGCCAGTGTTTCCTCGGAGGCCCCACAGTGGCCCCTGCCCTGTCCGGTCCGAGCACCTGAGCCGCCCAGCTCCTGTGGCCTGGCCTTTCCTCCTGCCTCGGTGTGAAGAAAGCTTTCGTTTTCTCTGGCTTTAGAAACATGACTTCTTTCCAGGTTCTCCACCTAGTGATAGGGAAGCACCAGGTGGGGGGAGCATTCAGTGCTGTCTCCAGGGTCTCTTAGGGCACACAGGTGCTCTCCTGTGCCTTTTTCCTGGCTGTGGCCGGTGGCAACGTGATGGCGATGGTCTGCTACTCCCTGGGCGCTCGTCCCCTGCCCATCTGCCAGCTGGGTCGGCCAAGGCCCTTTCGTTCTGCGTCCTTCCTGCTTCAAGTCCCTCCCGTTCCTGGGAAGGCAGCCGCAGCCACTCTGCAGCCCAAGCTTCTCTCCATAAAGCAGTTTTATTATTCTCTTCACAGCAGGAGCCGAGGGGGAGGGGAGGGGAGGGAGGCTCCCGACATCCCTGGGGCCCACGTGGGGAAATCAGGCAAAGCCAGAGTTGTTTTTAAAGGTATTTATTGGGGGAAAGAAGTATTTATTGAAGGAGAGCCTGTGCGAGTAGGCGCAGCCAGCCGAGCAGCGGCCTGGCTGCCGTCCCCCGAGAAGGGGGCAGCGGTGGGGCCAGCAGTACCCAGCCAAGAGGCTGGGCTCTGCCACACCAGCACCCGCCGACTGCTGTCGCCGGAGGCGTCTGCTTTCCTTTGGCCATTGGCCGTCTGGAGCGGCTCATCCCGAGGGTTGTGTCCAGACCCCTCCCCCCTCTCTGCTGTCACTCAGCCGAAACTAAGCTCCAGGGACTCCAGGCCCCACGGGGCTCCGAGCAGGGGCGGCTTCCCCTCTCCAGCGGAGCAGAAGTGGTGTTTGCTCACGAAGGTCTTATCAGACAGCGGAGCGATGAGCTTAGGTGGCGGGGAAAGCGGAACTTCGGGAGTAGGATGGATGGAGGGGGGACTGGTGGCAGCCCGGTGGCCGGCTGGCTGGCCAGCCGGGACAGCAGGGGGAAGGAGGCTGTGCTGCGTGTCTCCACGCCTTGAAGTCTAGGCCCCGGGCTCAGGGCGGTGCCGGCCCGAGCACAGGAGTCCTGGAAAGCCAGGCTGGAGCTTCTGCTGAGTGTCCGGCACCAAATGTAAAGATTTATACTGTAGTCAATAAACTGTCCTTAACAATGTTTAGAGAAAAAGTCTCCTGCGAGTGGGAAGGGTTAGGGCTGGTGGACCGGTCCCCCGTGAGCCTGCTCGCCACGCCCCGGTGGGCGCCCAGGCCCCCTCCCCAGCCCGAGCCCCTTCGTGACGTGTCCTGTCTTTCTGGCCTCAGAGGGACGGCTCCCAGGGAGCGTGCTCTCTCTCTCTCTCCCACTGTTTACCTCCAAGGTCGGTCCCTTCTAATTTGACTCCCATTCTGTGTCCCCCAGCCCCCGCCCCTCACCCCCAGCTGCTCCCCGCAGGAAGCACTGCGCCGAGGCGCTGTGAGAACGGGACCAAGGTGTGCTCGCTAGTCCCGGCTGGCAGGGGGGGCCGTCTGGGCCTCGAGCCCCCCGGCTGTCTCCGCTCGTCTGTCCGGCCCCAGAAGAGCCCTGTGCATTTCCGTGGGCGGGTTCCCTCCCTTCCAGGGCCAGGTACCCTGTGCCTGAGGCTGTAGCTCCCCTGCACGCTGAGCGCTGCCTCTCCATTCCTGCCTTTCAACAGCTGAATGCCTCCCATGGGCCAGACGTCCCACTGGACTTGCGGGGGTGGGGTCCCCTGTCTGCCACCTCTTCCTGCTGCTGCCCCCACCTGCTCTGGCCGGAGGCAACCCCTCCTGGCCCGTGGGCTGTATCTCTGGAAGCATCGGCTAGGAGGCAGGCGCGGTGGCTCCTGGCAGAAACACCTGAAGCCCCCACAGAACTATGGAAAACCAAGAAAAAGCCCAGTGGCAGAGCTGTGGACGCGGGAGGCCAAGGCCAGGCTCTCCCACTGGCTCTGCGTAGAGAAGCACGCACTCGCCCTTCATTACCCTCGCCCCCTCTCCAGCCCCCTCGTGGGCCTTCCTGCCCCTGTCCCCTCCTTGCAGGCCCACAGCTGGCCGGTCCCCTTTCCAGCAAGAAATCAATCACATTTCATGCTCAGCTAGCCTCCTATTCCAGAGTGGGTCAGGGCGGGTGGGTTTCGGGGTGGGGATGTTGCTGGGTGATGAGAAGTTGAGGTTGCTTATCTGTTTTGTACTGAGGGCCAGCTGGGTCTCGGGCTCTGTCTCCGGGTCACCATTGCTGTATGTAATTCGTTGACTGAGAAAAGGGAGAGAGAGGAGGCAGAACAGGTTACTTAGCCCTCTCTGAGCTGGCTGGTCTCAGAACAGGAAGCCTTTTGAGACCAGAGGAATCAAAGTGGAATGTGACAGCCCAGCCCTTCTCCTCCTAAAAGGGTTTAGAATGAGCCAGGCTCTAAGCTATGTGCTTTTGATGCCTTCTCTCGTCATTGCCACATGCCAGTCAGTGCTCATGAGCCTCTGTGAAGGAGGGGGCCTTGTCGTTACTGATTTCTGGACGGGGCAGCTGAGGTTCAGAGATGCGGTCACGCTACCGGGGCCTGGCGGCCCCACCTGGGGCCAGCGCCCGCTGCCTCCCGGTCTTGGCTGCCTCCTGCCACCGCTCTGTCCACCCTACTCCGCACTTCCAACAGCCTCCGCAGTTTGCTTTTCTGGCCCCTGTCCTCTCTCCAAACAGACTGTCAGCCCCTCCACGGATGCTTAGTGCTGTGCAACAACCCCTATTCAGACATTTTCAGGGGGTAAGGAACAGGGGAGTGGGCCCTCCGGCAGTGACTTTGAAACAATCGCAGCCCTGACCCGTGTGGCTCCGTCGGCTGAGCATCGACCAGTGAAGTGAAATGTTGCCGGTCTGACTCTCAGTCAGGGCGCATGCCTGGGTTGCAGGTTTGCTCTCTGGTCAGGGTACGTGCGAGAGGCAACGGATGGACGTTTCTCTCCTTCTCTTTCCCCCTCCCCTTCCCTCTCTCTGAAAAATAAAATCTTTAGAAATAACTGCAGCCCCTCCCTGCCTCCCGCCGAGGAAGCCATCTGGACCCCACACGCACGCACGCCCAAGCACCCGCAGACACGCGGCTGCAGTGAGTCTGCCTTGCACGCCCTGTCTCACCGTGTATCCTAGGCACCCCTCGGGCTCGTCCAGGCAGGGTTGGAGTGACTTCCTGAAACCTGACAAAGAAACAAAGCACAGGTTGTACATCTGGCAGTTTCTGACCCTGGCACATGGCAGAGGCAGGTGCTTTACTATGCGACTGGGGGGCAGGTGGCAGCTGCCACCTGGGGCCGGGTACAGCCGGAGCCTGGCCTGGAAGTTCTCGGCAGGGACCTTCGGTGCCCTGCTCCAGGCTCACGGGGCTCAGCGTCTGTGTTGCTAAGCCTACAACTCACATGGCGCCCTCTAGCCACCCTCACCCCGGAGGAAGAGCCAACCGCTTCTCAGCCACCCTCTCCTGACGTCGGCACCCTTCTTCGCAGCGCTAGGCTGGTGCACACCTAGGGAGTGGCCCCCAAGTGAAGGCCAAGGGCGCTGGGGAGAGTCAGAGAGGGTGGGGTAACGTGGACCTGGACTACAGGTCTAGGATAAGGCTTCACATTTACCAGGATCTTGAGGGATTTTCTGTCCTCCTTGGAATATGTTGTTAAAACAGTTGGATTGCCCTCCGTCTAGTTGAGTCCCCACTGAGACAAGCTGGGGGCCGAGGTTTTGGGAATTCTGGCGACCCTGTTTGGAGGTACACTGAAGAAGAGGGCCCTGGACGCTCTGCTGCCTTGGCTGGGGTGATGGCTGCGGCTGTGGCGGTGGCAGTGGCGGCGGCTGTGGCTGAGGCGGTGGCTTTGGCTGTGGCGGCGAGGATAGCTGCTGCTGTGCTGCTGGGGGCGGGTGCTCCTCCTGCTGGGACCCTGGAGGTAGCTTGGCTTGTCTCGGAAGTTGGCATTCCTTCTCTTGGAGTTTCTTCGGTTCCTGTCAGGAAGCACGAAGCTCGGCAAGTGACATCCTTCCCCCTCCCACCCACTGACCCGTCCGCCAGACGCCGGGCGAGCAGGACCACCAAATCCAGGGGGGAGAGGTGTCCCGAGGGTCTCGGCTGGTGTGGCTCAGTGGATTGGGCGCGGGCCTGCAGTCTCAAAAGTTGCAGGTTCTGTTCCAGGTCAGGGCACAGGCCTGGGTTGCGGGTAAGGCCCCCAGTTTGGGGCGTGTGAGAGGCAACCGATGTTTGCCTCATACGCTGGTGTTTCCCTCCCTCTCTTTCTCCTCCCCTTACCCTCTCTCTAAAAGTAAATAAATAAAAATCTTTCAAAACAAAAAAAAAGCACTGTCCAATAGAAATATAATATGTGCCACACGTAATTTTCAATTTTCTCGTAGCAACACAAAGAGTAACAAGAAACAGGTAAAACTAATTTTAGTAATGATTTTATTTCACCTCACACATCCCAACAGATCATCCATAAAAACATTACATCATTTATATTCTTTGTTTTTGTACTGAGTATTCGAAACCCGGCACACATTTTGCACTTAATGGCACATCTTATTTAGGCCACAACCATTCAACAGAAATAATTTAGATTCAGATGTCATCGAATTTCCGGTTGAAAAAGTAGATCCACATATCCAAGTGGTTCCAAACATCAGGTTTTCCTACGTGTTAACTGAGTATTTATGTTAAAATTTCTACTTAAGTGAATTAAGGGTGTCTAAAATCTTCAATTGATTTCCTCAGTCTCACTGGCCACATTTCAAGGGCTCGACAGCACGCACACTGGTGGCCACCCTATTGGACAGTGCAGCTTGACAACCTCCCAGGCCTGGGCTCCCTCTGTCCCCACTAGGGCTCAGCAAAGCCGAGTCATCCCAACACACACACATGAGTTCATCCAACAGCCCTGGCTGGGGTGGCTCAGTGGATTGAGTGCTGGCCTGCGAACCAAAGGGTCACCAGTTCGATTCCCAGTCAGGGCACATGCCTGGGTTGCGGGCCAGATCCCCAGTGCGGGGGGGGGGGGGGGTGAGGAAACCACACATTGATGTTTTTCTCCCTCTCTTTCTCCCTCTCTAAAAATATAAAGTACTCTTAAAAAGAGTTCATCCAAGGGTACACCAAAAGACCTTGCTCTCCTCCCATTCCCTAACCTTCTATGGGGTCTGTCTTCCCTCTCCCATTCCGGGTCCCTGAAGAATGTGACCCCTCTCAGGCACCTGATCTTGCTGTTGCTGTTGCTGTTTGGCCATCAGCCACCTCTTTTGGTCCAAAGCCATCTGCCGCCGGCGGGCCTCCCAGTGGTAAGCACTGCCCATGATGGTGGCGGGGCAGGCGGGCGGCAGAAGGCCCCAGGCAGGGAACAGGGCAGGCACAGCCCCGGATGCTGCCCCTGCCCCCGCCACCTCTGCCACCTCTCACCCCAACCCCACGGCCCGGTGGCTGTGGGTCACCAGAGCCACCTCACAATGTGGCCACTACCACGACAACAGGGCAGGGCCCCCTGCCTAGGGGAGGAGGGGGGTGTTCCTCCCAAGTCTCCCAGGGAACGTCTGTGATGTGCCTTTCTTTCCGGGGCCCTGAGCAGGTAGCAGACGCCTTCCGCCATTAGCTCGGAGTCTCAGGTGGCCCCGAGGACAATCCTGAGGTCGTCTGGCTTTTCTGTCTGGATTCTGTCTCCCACCCTCCCTAGGGTTCCAGCATCTTCACCTGGCCCTCTGCTTTCCCCCTGTCCCCAAGGGTCTCTGGAGTTACCTCCCCCTCAGTCCCCCATCTCCTTCTGTGCTGAGTGAGGGAGAAAGGAAATACCAAGTCCAGGCAACGCTCACAGGAGCCGCCAGGCGGCTGGCTGGGAAGGGCCCGCGTCTCGGGCCCGCCAATGCAGGGCCCCAGGCCGGAGTCCGGTTCCTCCTCTGGCCCTGCAGACCCTGCCTGACCCTTCCGGCCTCTTCCCTCGCCTGCAGAACCAGAAGGGCGGCACTGGCTACCCTCTTCAGAGGACAGGTATTAGGACCGAACGGATCAGTGGACGAGAAATGCACAAGAGGAAGCATTTGTTAAGCTGCAGGTCGGTAGCCCTTATCCCACCTGACCCGTGTCCCCAGTGTGTGGAGCGGCCAGGGGAGGGGATCATTTTCTGTTGCCCGGAAAGCCTCTGGGGACAGGGT